AATCTTTCAAGCTTTTGGATAAATGATCGCTTCAGTTGATTGCTCAGGTTCATTTCCAAATCCTTAAAGAGCTTCCTGTCACTGTAATTTTTTGATTTAAAGGTTCACTATATTTTGTATCTTCCAGAGTCCTCCAGTGCATTCACCTTACACAGCTGAATTTCTGCCCTCTAACTGGCCTTGTAATACATTTGATGAAAACAAGAAGACAGAAGAAAACCTTGAAGCTCTGTTTCGGGTTGCTGATGAGATGTGTCCATCACCCAAAACTGGCATAGTGAAAGTGGTACCTGTGGAAAGCCTGTGCTCAACCCCTCAGTCTAGCGAAGGGCAACTGGTGAATGTTGAGGATATTGATACACCTTCTTCAACCGAGGAAAGCCAACTGGAAGCTCTTAGTCCTGTAGCTTCAGACGCATCATTTGTGGTGGGGGCAGATCAAGCAGTAACTTGTTCTCCATCCCAGCCTTCTGAATTTCTTCATGCTGCCTGTGCCACTGCATCTGCAGAAGGGGCTGTTGCTGGGGTGATGCAAGAATTTGTGAGCACGCAAGAAGCCTCCGTCGTGTTTGTCCAGGAAGCACCTCTCAGTGCAGAGCAGGTAGGGTGAAAGGGAGATAAAAGAACACCTTTTTTGAGGTAGCTGTATTCAATAGTAATGTTAGGGTCTGGATGGATAGCTTTTTAATATTCTTGCCTGTTTAAGAACTAACGGCTTCTTTAATTAAGCTTTTAATGGACAGTGAAGGGTTTGCTTGGTAAAACAAAATTTAAAGAAGAATGAAAATGTATCCCACGTTAATGAGTATGAGATGTGTTAGCCTGTGTTGGCCAAGTTAGGGTGCTCATTTGCATGGGAAAAAACAGTGCAGGTATATTCATTTTTCAGGTTATAACCTAGTATCTTTAATTTTAAGAATTGCCACTGAAGGGAAAGATTTTTGTTTATAATCTAGATACATGGTTAGATTGTTTCTGATAAACATCTATTAAGTTTCTGTTTACTATGGAAAGTATAATTTGTTGACATTTGAATGGTGTAAAGCATCTTCATTTGTTTATACTCTGTGGTGGCCAGCAAGCTGCCGTCGTACTTCCGTTTGCCTGTGCCTGGTCTCCCCCATACACAGAATTAGAAGATTCCTGTGCAGTGATGGGTGTTCCTGATGTTCATTTTTATGAATGTGTTGAAGCTGCTGTTGTGTTGTTCTATCAGTATCTTGATGCCTTCGGTAGAGTTTAAAGCTTGGAAATCCTCAGCTGGTGCAAACTTGATTGTTCTTAATCGTTTTCCTCTTGGGTGTCTCTATAGAAACAGATGTATATTCTTATCAAGCCCAGACCAGACTGTTCAGCTCAGTGCTGTGTAGAGAAGAGCACACATCCTTGTCTAGTGCCTGCAGCGTGGGCAGTAGCCCTTAACGAGCGTCCACTCATTAAGGGTAGACCTCACTTTAAACACTGTCAATTTTGACATCTTTGGAAGTGCGTTTTTACCAGTACATTTTGCCATTGTTGTAGGCATTTTTGGTCCAAACTCCCTTGTTAAGTTGTTTGGGAGGTAGTGTTTTGGTTTTAGGGCCCCATTACTGGTGTAACTGGTAAGAATCCCCATGTTGGTTCTGACCAGTTTATCTATATTTTAACTGGATAAATACCTGGGACTTACTCTGTGTTGAAGAGGAATTTAGGGACTATTAGGCCTTTTGTTTGACAGACTTTTTTGTTAATCCAGCAAACCTTATTCATGTGAGCTGCTAATTTAGCACCTCAGCCTGGGGTTCTGGCTGGGTATGGGTATGGTCCAGTGGCTGTCTCGTAAGCCACGTAACCCGTGAGATGAAGCAGGTTTGGCATTTTTCAATAATTGAAGTGAAAAGGCAAAACTTTCACATCTGTCAGTTTTGGCAGCTGTGATCCTCTGCCAGACAACGTTTTTGGACTCTGAAATTGCAGGAGTGCTAGGTCTGAGTGAAGAGTCTGTCCACAGATGTGGTAAATCCACGGTCAGAAACACGTTCACTTAAAAAAACCACAATAAAAAAAGAGCCAGATTTGTGTGGGCTAGGCTGAGGTTATTACAATGAAAATCTCATTACTGCCTTTTTTATATTAGATTCCTAAGGAGTTGGTGTGTCAGATCCTGGAAACACAGTGATAGAAAGGAATCTGAAGGGGGTACTGTGCAGAATCATCTCTCTTCAGCTTTCCCACATACAACTGTAAGGCTTAAACTTGGACACAGCGCTGCACGTCCAGGTTCAGCAGTGAGAGGGGAATGAAATTCCCTGGATTTGCTGGCCAGGCTCGTCCCCACGCAGCACAGGGTGTCCTTAGCCTTCCTGGGACTGCAGCATCCACAGGCCCTGTGCAGAAGAACTGCTGGTCAGAGGGTCTAGAGTTCTGCATAATGGTTATCCCAATAAGCATTTGTGTTTTGTTTATCAAACAATGCAGTCTGATTTCTACATCCCCTGTTTGATACTGCTCTTCAGGTCACAGTATATCTCTTTATCTTTTTTTTTTTTTAATAATGAAATTTGTAGAATTGTTTCTAGAACAGTTGCCCTGTGGAGTATCGAAATCGGGGTGCTTACTTGACAAATCTTTCCTTCTCTCACTAGCTGGTTAAGGCAGCCTACTCATTTTTCCAGAACTTATTCTAAATGTCACCAGGAACAGAGAGGTTTAGATCATCACTCATGAAATTTGGATTCTGGTTGGCGAAGGTAGTGAGCTACAGTCCTCTCTCCTTCTCTTGGTTGTCCTGCCTGGGAAGGAGTTGGGGATCAGGGGTTGGACACAAGGCATTGCCAGCCCCACGGTTTTCACATGGCCCTGTTAGGGGTTACCAGCACTTGCGCGGTACGGGCGGACGGCACACTTCAAAGAGCAAATGCTGCAGTGGTCTCCAGCAAGTGCAGGAGGCGTCTTGGGGTGAACTAGCTCTCCCTGCAGTTACTGTATTGACACAGGCCTTTTGGAATATTATTATACAACTTTGTCAAAGAATGTATAGGTATTTCTATTAACATGCATACACATTGCGTTTTATAGATTGGAGGAATGACAGACTCAAGGTGGAAAATGTGATTTTTGGAAATACTAGTATCTTCATACCAGGTGTGATGGCCCTTTGTCCTCCGCAAACTCACTGGTTTTCGAAAGCTTTTTTTTCTTTAACAGAGGGAAACGTTGCAGGCTGTAAACAATCATTCATCTTTAGGATATTGATTGATAGGATATTTGTAGAAGAGATGAATATTCTAGAACAGGTGATAGTGAGAACATCTTTCTGTCTAAAGGTAAACTCCAAGTATTTCACTTTGGGCTTTTACTTCCTCAGTGGAA